TTGCATTGAGTTAGGTGAAGCTACAGTGCTCCCTTACTGCTCCTTCTTCTCTGGCTGTGGTAAGTTCTCCCCAGGCTCTGACCCTGTGGGGTCCCCAAATACAGACAGTGGCAATAGTGGAAAACAGGGCTGCAGCTTCTCCTCTTGCTTATGAAGCTTGGAGAAGCCCACCAAGAGTTGGCAGGGCTAAGGCAGCCCCCCAGCAGGGTCTGGGTTTGGCTTGGCTTACAACAGCTCTTGAGTTTCTGAGAGACTCCTGGGTGGGGGTACCAGAGGTTCCTCAGCCCCTCCAACCAGGACTGGCTCAGGCTCCTCTCTACCTTAAGGAACTGCTCCTCAGAGTATTCCTCAATCTGCAACCTGAACACTTCTATGGGAGAGGCCATGGCCTTCCATGGGGGTCCCCTGTGCTGAGTGGAGGAGTCTGGTAATAAAGTTGGGCTGGCCAGATTTCTTCTGCTCTCTACTGGCCTGTAAAAAAAATGCATCTGCACAAACAGGGATTCACAGCCCCATCTGTGGTACTCTCAGGGACATGGTAGTTACGGGGCTCCTACTAGCACACCACATTCCTTCCTATAATGGAGATGTTCTTCATATGCTCCCTTTCTTGTTGTGTTCTGTGGATTCAGAGAGGCATTCCAGCATCAGCACACAATTTCTGAACACAGGCCTCAGAGTTGCTCATAGAACATGACCTTAACATGAGATCCAAATTTGGGAGACAAAGCAAGCAATCCAAAGGTCTACTCAAAATCCTACTCAGGCCTATTTAATGGGATTTAGTCCCAGAAAAAGGTTCTTAGGATTGCACTGTAAGTATGTATTGTTTTGGGAACCTAGAATTGTGTTGTCGTTCCCAAGCAGTAACACTCACCTTTGCAGTCCAAGCGCCAAAGAGGAGAGGAGATGGTGAGGCAACCACTCCCTCCAGTGAATGCAAAAAACAATGACAACCTTCTGTATTGAAAATGGCCACAACTTTATAGGTAACAGCAGCTCTAAGAGTCTTGGCCCAGAAGAGCTCCTGCCTCATAAAAAGCCATGAGGCCAACTGGGCCAGGCAACATGACAGGGCTCTAAATAACCTGATTGGCCAGGCGAGGGGAGGAGGTCTGGGGAAGCTGTGCAGCCGCAGAAGCTTCCCTGGCTGTCACCCAGCTACTCTGCCAGCCCAAGTGCCCCCCTAACCTTGTGTCACCTGCTTCCTTGCCCCCACAAGCCCACAAACAGGGCCTAGGAAAGTCTGGAGACCCCAGCTTCTTTCCACAGTTATGACCTGTCCATTAATACTAGTCATAACATTCAGTTCAAAAACTCGTATTAACAACTATATGACATACCACAAACGCTCAACAGATTCGGTTTCCATTCTAACATTCTCTTCATTCATTTAAATAACTTGGCTAGAGCTTTGTTGGGCAGGACCTGTCTTTAATATATGTTTTGTACACCGGCTTGCTTTTTTAAGCACTTAAACTTTATGTAAGAAACTTCACGTAACCCACATATGCACATTCAGCATCCTGGGAACCCACTGCCAACAAAGGCTTCTTGCTGTGTATACATTTGGCAATATAAATATGTACACATTTTGTGACACGTAACAGTGTACATGCAATTTCCAATACTGTGACATCTGTGTAAGGCATTAATCATGTGTAAAATGGCCTAAAGACAGAAAGACCTTTACTGAATGCCACAAGATAATAAATTTACTTCACTAATATTTATAGTTCTGTTTATGACTGAACATAGTGTAACAGGAACCATGCCAGTTTTTAAAGGCTGAAAGTCTGGATTTATAATGCCTTGAATATATCTGTCTAAAGAGTCCTAAAGATTGCAGTCTTTCTATCAGTTTAATCTTTACAATTTGTTTTTTAAAAAACTCTTTTTGCTGAACATCAAAATATAAAATAAAATCTGAATGTCCACGGGTATAAATTAAACACACTTCAGCAGCTTACAGAATTCCTTCAAAACAGCTCTGTGCCGTTCATCAAAGCAATTTTGTTTAGTCAAATTTAACTGATTGATCTGTACACTTTGAAAATTCTTGGTAACAATTAGCAGCTGCACTGTATCTGAAACTGCAGCATGAAAACTACAGCCAGGCAAAGAAGTTCTTGCAATACAACAGTTTTGTGAGACTATACACATTAAATTTTTAAAATCAGGATCCATGTTTGTAAATCTTCAGATACTAGAATGCTATAGTATCCATTATTTTTTCAGGAAAGATTGGGGAGAGTTTCACAGTTTGAGTGGAAACAGCTTAATTTTAAACATTTGCAGATAGCAGATAAACTTGCAACATGCCTTTTCCCCCCCAAACAACAACAACCAGTATTTATCACATTTAGAATGAGACAAGTTATTTGTTATAACAGGGGGGGGGGATGATAATTTGCGGGGGAAGGAAATATCATTTTCTTCCTCCTCCTGGCTCCAGCTCCCAGACCTGCACCACCTCCAGCTTTCTGATGTCTACCCTATAGGGATGTCAGCCTCCAGGTGGGACCTGGCGATACTCCTGGAATTACAATTTATCTCCAGACTACAGAGGTCAGTTCCCCTGGAGAAAATGGAGGACTCTATGGCATTGTATCCCATTGAGGTACCTGTCCTCACCTGGCTCCCCCCCCCAAATCTCCAGGAATCTCTCAACTAGGAGCTGGCAATCCTATCCTCCACCCCCATCCCTGTTGCCAGGGGGACCTGGTAACCCTAACTCCTGTCCCTGCTAGCTCTCATCCCCATGTCATAGACTCTTCTTTGTGCACGCATTCCTTTGCCCTGCAATCACTGAATCAGTTCCACTCTTTTGTCTTCCTTCTGCATACTCTCTAGCACCCTAACTCATAGACCTCACTGCTCCCAGGCTTACCAGATTGCCCAACATGGCAAACAATCTGCCGCCCATAGCTCCAAACCTCTGCTGCCACTCTTCACTGCAGCAGGACCAAAATTGGAGGCCAGGAAACGATGTTGTATGACATCACTTCTGGTTGTACATATATTATGATGTTCTAGGATTTGCCCAAATCTCTGTGATTTCTACAACAGAGACCAGGAAATCCCTAGTGTTGCAATATCGCTTCCCCCCCCCCCAATTTGCTCCCACAGCAGTAAAGATCCAGCTGGCTACCCTAGCTACTCCTGAAGTATCTGCCCATCCACATAGAGGACAGCCCTTGGAATTAGATGTAGTGATATTATAGAGCATACCCAGGCACACCACTTAATTTGTTCAAAAGAAACTACATAGGGTTTGAACTAGCTTGGAATCAGAAGCACTAATCCTAAACCCAGAAAAATTATTGGTCTGATTTAACTCAGTAGAGCCAGGAGTGCATTCTGTTCAAGCTCAGTAACACCATCCACTCCTTTTGTTGTTGTTCAGTTGCACAGTCAAGTCCGACTCTTCACAACCCCATCAACCACATCACACCAGGCCCTCCTGTCTCTATCCAGGTTTAAACACACTGATAAAAACAAGTCCTGTAAATGCCTGATACAGAAAAAAATCGGGTACCAAGATCCTCCATAGGATTCTGAAATACAGATATCGACAATATAATAGTTAAATATAACTAGTGCTTGTTTTGCTCCCTAGAGTGGTAAAACTATGGTACATTTTATATTATTTGATGAACACTGTAGAGTAAGTGTAATTACATGGAAGCTGAGTCACAATCCTCCTTCAAAAGAAGACACCAACAAACCCACAAATTCACTTTACAGGCATACCTACAAATGAAAACATCCTGTGAAATCATCCTGAATTTCTTTGCACAATTTCATGCACGTATGTCATGCAAACACAGTCAATTTAAAATATTCTAGAATGCTCAAGAATCCATAAAGTCTTAATGACTGCACCATTTTGCTCAAGCATCTCTTTCAACTGCACTCTAATTCATTATTTGGAGAGGCATAAAACCACAGAATAAGGAGGAAATATATTCACTACTGCTACATTTTTTTAACATTCATATCTCACCATCTTCCAACAAGCTCCAGGAGTCATAAATTTTCACATTCCACATAACCCTATAACAATCTTTTGAGATATGCTCAACTGAAAACAACTATCCAAGGCTACTTACTGAGTTTAAAGTGGGACATACTGGTCAAAATCAAGTACCACTAGACCTACTGTACTGCCCATGATTTTTAAAGCATAAATCCCTGTTGTGTTGACATAAGCACTCATAAGCCACATCTGTGGTGCCAACTTTTCCTTCCATAAAACCAGTATCTTTAACTACCTTGCAGAAATCAAAATTGTTAAAAAATTATATTAAATAATATTTTGTAGACCAGGACACCTGAGTTCAATTTTAGCACTTTGTCCTCTCAGTCCAGAACCACAGAGCCTTAGTATATATTTCTGATCAAACTAACAATAGAAAACAGCTTTTAGCATTCCTCAGAAATCTAGAGGTGAGCCCATAAATTTAATTTTTGTTACAGAGCTTTCTATGAGTATATACAACTTTGCAGGTTTCACAGGATCAGTCAACAGCCTCTCCTAAAAGTGTAAAGAGCTCTCAGAATCACCAAAGTATACATACACTTGCCAACAGAAACCTGTACAACTACCCTCATTCACTATTTGTCTGTTAGGCCCAATCTGCATTTAGCATTTGCTCACTTGTTTTACCAAACCCACACTGGAACAGAAAAAGATGCAGTTCAAAACCACATTCAACTACCCCGGGCCAACACTGTACTGACTGCAGCTTCAAACCCTCCCCCCCCAATGGCCATAAATCTGTGCAGACAGCCACCATAAACAAAGTGAAAGCGGCATGCAGTCTGGACACTGCCATAAAGTGCAACACTCAATCAAAGTGAAAGTGGCATGCAATGTAGGTGGGAATTTCTGTTCCAGTGTGGGTTTGGTATAACAGCGGAGCAAATGCTAGATGCAGATTGGGCCTTATAGATCAACAAAGCACAACAGCACTCCAGTGAAGAAAAATGTAGCATACCTGTCGGACAAAACTGTTAGAGGTAGTATCAGAAGATGTACTCCCATCTGATCCTTTGAATCTGTTTTTCCTTCTCGCACCTTTGCCATAAGACTGTTGAAAAACACAAAATGTTATTTTATTTGGCATACAGGTCCGAATAAAGTACAAGCACTGAGAACATTATCATGATGTGTTATGTTTTTATAAGATCCTGTAAGGTTCATTTACATAAGTAGTACTATATAACAATGCTATTGCCCTCATAAAATCCAACACTGTGCTGAGATTTGATTGACCCCAACACCCAATATTTTGAAAAGGAGAAGATCAAAGAAGAGCTCCTCTTGGTTGTTTTTCTATACCACAAAACAAAAATTCCAAAGGGGGGGGGGGGGCTGGAGCTATTGCTAAACTTAAGGGTAAAACCCCAAATGGTTAACATTCTCCTTATCTGGAAACTAGGAGCACTCTTGTAATTGGCATGAAGGGAAAAAATAATCCCTAATATGCTCAAGTTCAAAACAAAATGCGTTCTCACTGTAATGTATTCAATAGCTGCCATTGAATGCATGATGTACGTGAAACATCTAATTGACTTGCCATGTTGAGCTTTGTCCTGGGCTAGGATCCAAATCCATCCAATCGCATTGCTAGCCCAGGAAGCACCTAGCCAATCACTTTACAGCAAGCTCCCTGAGCGGGAACGTCCGTGATTGGTCCTTATATGAACAACCGTATTGGTTGGTATTTGTATAGTGGGTGTGGCTACATTAGCCGGGAGAGTTTAAAAGCAGGACAACTGCAATGTAAAAGCTGAACTGTTCTGTTCTATCAGATGTTGATCCGTGTTGGAGTTGTGTTCGAGTTGAAGAATAAAGTTGTGTTCTTGCTGAATCACTCTCCGACTTTTTTGTTAAGCGAGCAACTTAACACTCACAACCGACAAACGTCTATTGGCTCCTTCTTTACTCACATTGAATGCATGATGTACGTGAAACATCTAATTGACTTGCCATGTTGAGCTTTGTCCTGGGCTAGGATCCAAATCCATCCAATCGCATTGCTAGCCCAGGAAGCACCTAGGCAATCACTTTACAGCAAGCTCCCTGAGCGGGAACGTCCGTGATTGGTCCTTATATGAACAACCGTATTGGTTGGTATTTGTATAGTGGGTGTGGCTACATTAGCCGGGAGAGTTTAAAAGCAGGACAACTGCAATGTAAAAGCTGAACTGTTCTGTTCTATCAGATGTTGATCCGTGTTGGAGTTGTGTTCGAGTTGAAGAATAAAGTTGTGTTCTTGCTGAATCACTCTCCGACTTTTTTGTTAAGCGAGCAACTTAACACTCACAACCGACAAACGTCTATTGGCTCCTTCTTTACTCACAAAAGAAAGGACTGAATTCAGGACAATAACGTTAACGTGTATTGTAAGTATCTGAAGAAAATGGGCCTCATCACTGTTTATTATTCAGATCTGCAAGGTACATAAAAGCAGACTTTGTTGCTATAGGAAAAACAGTAAATGCAACAAGCCTATGTTTAAATTCTGTTGCCTACTGCTTAGTGTTTTTAACTGAAGTAAAAAATAAAATTCCAAAGATGAAAGGTGATAAAGATATATTATTCATTTTCATTTCATTTCTTGAATATCACAAGTCCTTGATCCAGAAACCACTGCAATACATTTGTGTAAAAATGTATTTTAATTATATCTATGATATGAAGAACATCTTCCTATAGACAAAATCATTTCTAATACAGATTTTGATTAATTGAAAATAAAATGTCCATATTTTCTTAGTAAAATCCTACCTCGAATTCATTTTAAATTATAAATCTACCAATAAGGATTTTAAAAAGTAAAAGTGAAGAAATACACTGAGGCAAAAATACTCAATGCAATGTATTTTTATTATTGCACTATCCTTTATGGGACTAATACTGGCTGCCACATAAGTATGTAAGCCTATATGTGACACAAGATATTGCCAGATCAATCATACCAGAACTTGGCTGAATAATATATAACATACCTTGTTTGTGTTTCTCATATGTTCATATTAATATCAAGGAAGTAATGTTACAAAAGCTCAATCCTTCTAACTTCTCCAGAATTTCTAATTCTGCCTCAGGTTCTGAGATCTAAATTTTTATTAGGCTTAGTGTAATGCACACTAGTGTGTACATCTGGGGTGCAACTAGACATGCCTCATGCAGAACCCAATCTGGATCATGTCAGTTCCCTAAAATGTGAGGAGATCTAGAACATAACATACACCTGCAGATTGTCACCTTACAAAGAGGTTCTTGAGAGTGTGCAACCAGGTACATGTGAACAGGCCATGCTACCTGGGGAGTTCTGCATGAGAGTTATTTATTTAGGATATTTCTAGGCCACCTTGTCAGAGTTCTGATTGAGGAGGAATACAATAAAAACAATGTCACAATATAAGAACAAGCTATTAAAAATAAGCAGGGCAGGCTGACACCACAGATCCCAGGCAGCTTCTCCAATGACCAACAGCACTTCAGTCTTGTCTGGATACATCTTAAGTTTATTGATCTTCATCCATCCCACTACCTCCTCCAGGCACCTACTCAGGACTTCCAAAGCCCCACCTGGCTTAGCTGATGACACCTCACTCCAAATCTCCAGACCTCTCCCAGCAGTTTCATGTAGATGTTAAATAGCATGGAGGACAAGTTGGAACCCACAACACAAATGCCAAAGGACCAACCAACAGTTCCCCAGCATCACTTTTTGGAATTAATTTGTCAAATAATCGCAGAACCACCAAAGCACAGTGCCCCCCGTTCCCAACCCAGCCGGTCTTTCCAGAATGATATCACTGATGGCACTGAAAGCCACTGAGATGTCCAGGAGAACTGACAAGGATGTTCTCTCCTGTCGCTCTCCCAGCAAAGTCAGGGCAAACTCAGGCCTGAATCCAGACTGAAATGGATTTAGCAGTGAAGCAAGAGACAACTGAAGAAGGACATATGAATAAGCTCCTATGTGAGTACAGTTTGGGGGCAAGAAGCTGACTTTGGGTCCTCCTGTTATGGATAAATTCAGCCAGCTCTCCCAGGCCGATGTTGACAGGATTCTGGATGCTGTGAAACCTACCACTCGCCCCTTAGACCTGTGCCCATTGCGGCTAGTGAAAATCAGTGGTGACAGAGGACAAGCCCTCCTGGTGGACATTATAAACCTGACCCTTAGCTCAGGGGTGTACCCGGAGGAATCAAAAAAGGCAGTGGTAAGACTGCTCTCTAAAAAGCCAAATTTGGATCCAACAGATCCTTCCAATTACCACCTAGTGTTGAACCTACCATTCCTGGGTAAGGTAATTGAGAGGGCGGCAGCAGAACAACTCCAGACTTTCCTGGATGACTCACAGGTCTGGCTTCTGCCCCAGTCATAGGATGGAGACGGTTCTGGTCGCTCTCACGGATGATCTCCATAGACAGCTGGATTGAGGCAGGTCAGCGCTGCTGTTATTATTGGATTTGACACTGTCGACCATGATCTTTTGACACACCGCCTTGCCAATATGGGAGTACATGGGACTGTCTTGAAATGGCTGACCTCATTCCTCCAAGGTTGGAGACAAAGGGTGTCACTTGGGGGGATGAGGCAGTCCTCTCCCCATTGTTGTATAACATCTATATGCACCCCCTTGCCCAGCTGACACAGAGTTTCAGGCTGGGCTGTCATCAACATGCTAATGACGCCCAGCTATATCTGTTGATGAGCACCCCAGACATGTTGGCTATGGGATTGGAGGCTGTGGTGAGATCGCTGAAACAGAGCCAGCTGAAACTAAATCCAGCATTTTGACTGCACGGTGATTTTGCCTGCCTGCCTGATGCAAAGGTTGCAGGCATCACACAGTGTCTAGATAGGCTGCTAGATAGTTCAGGGGAGGAGTCAACAGTCATGGTGAATGTTGGCATCAGTGACACCGGTGACACATGAACTCATGAAGCTGCTTTATACTGAATCAGACGGTTCATCAAAGTCACAATTGTCTATTCAGACCAGTAGCAACTCTCCAGGGTCTCAGGCTGCCTTTCAAAGCACCTCCTACCTGATCCTTTTAACTGGAGATGCTGGGGATTGAACCTGGGATCTTCTGCATGCTAAGCAGATGCTCTGTCAGTGAGCCACAGCCCCTCCCCAACCAGGTCCTGGAGGAAATATTTAGGTTACTAGACAAAAAACTAAAGGTCAAGACATCCAAAATAGTGTTCTCAGAATTGCCATTGGTTTCACATGCAAAGCCAGCTAGGCACTATTTAGCAGTGCCTGGAGAAAGAGTTTAGAATTGTAATACATCAAAGAATTTTCTTGGACAAAGCAAACCTGTACAAAGAAACAGGCTTCGCTTGAACCAAAAGGGAACCATACTGTTGGTGCTTAATATCAAAAAAGTGGCAAAAACAACTTTTAAACTAATTCCAGGGGAAAACCTGACAGGATCAGGATAGTATTCGGTTTGGAACAATCCACCCCAAAGGGATGGTGATGTTGGAGGAAGTGGGCCAACCCTTGAGAATGTGTGTTTAGCAGTAAAGGAAGGCCATGTGAGAAAACCTAAGGGCCAAAGGAGGCAGGAATCCTCAGAGAGGGAAATGAGGTACTCATCTGTTAATGCTAGAAGCCGCTGAGCCAAGATAAGGAAACTGCAGTGATTGGTGCTAAATAACAATTTAGAAATAGTGGGCATTTCAGAAATCTGGTTGAATTAGGAAAATCAATGGAACACCATTACCCCTGGGTACAAACTGTTTAGACAGGACAAGCAGGGACATATTGGAGACAGTGCTGCTCTGGATATCAAAGACAGCAGAGAGTCAACTCCCTCACAGAATCACGAGGGGAGGAGATACCAGGCCCTGAAGTGTTACTTAAATGGGGGTGTACTACCACCCTGTGATCAAAACCATGAGGTAACTAAAGTGGAAAATGTTGTCATACAGTAACTTCAACTACCCTCACACTGACTGGTAAAGGTGTACACTAGTCATACTGTACAAATAAGGTTTCTAGATATTGAACATGGCAACGGATCAGCGGCAAAAACGGCAGGCAACTCGTGGAGGCGTGGTCCGGGCGGCATGGTGACGTAAGCACAGTCGGAGCCTGCGGGACAGAGACCAGTGCGACTCATCGCACAGCTGCGCGCCACTGAGGGCCATCCCAGGGGAGCCAAGCCGAAGAGAACAGACCTCCGCCGGAAAAAAAACACTACCGCTAGATACCAGGCCCTGAAGTGTTACTTAAATGGGGGTGTACTACCACCCTGTGATCAAAACCATGTTGTCAAACTCAGTAACTTCAAATACCCTCACACTGACTGGTAAAAGTGTACACTAGTCATACTGTAAAAATAAGGTTTCTAGATATTGTAAACATCTGTGCACTGGAGCAGCTCGTCATGCAACTTTGGGGCTTGAGGAGAGATTGTAAACATCTGTGCATTGGAGCAGTTAGTCATGCAACTTTGGGGCTTGAGGAGAGAAGGCAACTTTGTGCTTGAGACCTGAATTTAGACAATGTTGCAATGACTGGGAAAAGTGATCACATGCTATTAAGATCAACATTCATGTCAATGGAAGTTTGCTCCCAGAATGCCACCTAATTGTGCCATTTTGTTCTCACCTATACCACTTCAGATTTGGCAACCACCCATTCCTCCAGATCAATGGTACATCCATGGGCCACCCACATGGCACCACAGTATGCTAATACATTTATGGCTGGCTCGGAGCAACGCTTCCTAAACTCCCACCCACTCATACCTCTCTTATACCTGTGTTACACTGATGACATTTTTATTGTCTGGACTTATGGTAAAGAAGCCCTGGACATATTCCACTGAGCATTCAACAACTTTCAATCACTATCAACATGACAATGAACCAATCCATGCAAGAAATACATTTTACACAATGGAAACTCAGACACCACCTTATACTGGAAACCTACTGATCAACAAACATACCTTCATGCCTCCGGCTACCATCCTAAACATACCAAATGATCCATGATAAAAAGCCAGGCTCTATGCTACAGCAGCACCTGCTCCAAACCTACAGACAGAGATTCTCACCTGAAGAATATACAGCAAACCTTTCTGGAACTAAGGTATCCACCTGACAAAGTCAGGAAACAGATTAATAAAGCCAGAATGGTACCCAAAGAAAACCTGTTACAAGACAGGCCCAAAGGAGACAATAGTAGAACACCACTAGTGGTCACATACAGCTCTCAACTCAAAACAGCTCAATTTATCATCAACGACCTACAACCTCTACTGGATAATGACAGTTCTCTTTCACAAGTACTGGGGGGGGGGCAAACGTTTCTTTCACACAGACAACCCCCAATCTCAAACAACTCTTCACCCACAATAATGCAACATCTAACTTGAAAATGGACACTGATCCCAGAGCTTGCAATAAAACCAAATGCCAGCTTTGCTGCCACATACACCCAGACAACATAATCACTGTACCTAACAACATCAACTATGCCATCTCAGGCTCATTCACTTGCTCATCTTCTAACACTGTATATGCCATTAAATGCCAACAATGCCCTTCGGTTCTCTTCATAGGGCAAACAGGTCAAACCCTACACCAAAGGATAAATGAGCACAAATCTGACATCAGGAATCACAAGCCTGAGAAACCTGTAGTAGAACACTTCAACCTTTCAGGACATTCAATGGATGACCTCAAAGTGGCTGCTTTATTACAAAGGAACTTCGGGAACCGAATGGAAAGGGATATTGCTGAATTACAAATTATTACAACACTTGGAACAATAAGCCCCCCAGGACTCAATAGGGATACTGGTTTCTTATCTTATTACATATGTTAATCTCATTCAGTCCTTACATATGTATTCTCACTAAGAAGCGCTATACATCCTCTGTATTTTAGTGAATTTCTTTTTAAATAGTATATTGGAATAGTGATTGTAATATAATGCACTGGAATTTATTTCTCTGATTTGGTGACAGAAGAGACGTAACTCAACCATTCAACTTACTTCAAATAAAAAGTCGCTGTTAATTACTTCCATGCTTGAGAGGAGATAAATGGAATGTAACAAAAGTAAAAGGATACTTTTATACAATCTCCTATTTTGACATATTTACTGTGTTTTCCCTGTAACTGAATCCAAACAAACTTAACTTGTTATAACTGTCTAGTTTTTGCATCTGTTAAAACATTGTCATTATGTTGTATGCTAATTTACTTAAAGGTTCTACTGGGCTTTTTCCTATTTTGCAGCAACAGACTAACAGCTAACTCATCTGGATCTATGCTAATTTACTGTTCACTCTCTGTATACCTATCAATGAACTGTTACCTTTCATGTCAATGTATCTGAGGAAGTGTGTGCACACAAAAGCTCATACCTTGAAAAAAACTTAATTGGTCTTAAAGGTGCCACTGAACTCAAACTTTGTTCCGAGGCCCAGATAAAATGAATACATCAAGTCTGAAAAAGTACCACCAAGTCTAAAAGGAGGCCTGCATAGTTAACAACCCAAGTCAAAGAAACCATAAAAGGCAAAAAGCCGAAGGTTTGCCCAAATGAGGTGCAAAGAAGGAGCATAGTTTCTGGAAAAATAAATGTAAGCTGACAAGAAAGTAAGCAACAAGACAATTTGAGGAGCGGATTGCTGGAATGTAACAAAAGTAAAAGGATACTTTTATACAATCTCCTATTTTGACATATTTATTGTGTTTTCCCTGTAACTGAATCCAAACAAACTTAACTTGTTATAACTGTCTAGTTTTTGCATCTGTTAAAACATTGTCATTATGTTGTATGCTAATTTACTTAAAGGTTCTACTGGGCTTTTTACTATTTTACAGCAACAGACTAACACAGCTAACTCATCTGGATCTATGCTAATTTACTGTTCACTCTCTGTATACCTATCAATGAACTGTTACCTTTCATGTCAATGTATCTGAGGAAGTGTGTGCACACAAAAGCTCATACCTTGAAAAAAACTTAATTGGTCTTAAAGGTGCCACTGAACTCAAACTTTGTTCCGAGGCCCAGATAAAATGAATACATCAAGTCTGAAAAAGTACCACCAAGTCTAAAAGGAGGCCTGCATAGTTAACAACCCAAGTCAAAGAAACCATAAAAGGCAAAAAGCCGAAGGTTTGCCCAAATGAGGTGCAAAGAAGGAGCATAGTTTCTGGAAAAATAAATGTAAGCTGACAAGAAAGTAAGCAACAAGACAATTTGAGGAGCGGATTGCTAAAAATGTTAAGACAAACAATAAGCATTTCTTCAGTGTATCAAGAGCAGGAAAACACCAGGGTGGGTAGGATTGGGCTATTGGATGATTGAATTATTTGTGCCTATTTTTATTGTGGAAAATGTGAGGAACATACCCACACCAGAGCCATGTTTTGGGGATAATGAAAGATGGAGTTCTAAAACTATCAGGCAAACTGAAAACTATAAAGTCTCCGGATTCAGATGGGATGCACCCAAGTGTTCTCAAAGAACTCAAATAGGAAACTGTCAATCTACTAATCTACTAATTAGTATACACAACTGATTAAGCAATGAAAAGTAGAGAGTAGGAATGGAAAGCTGCAGACCCAGCGGTGAATGGGTAGCCAGATGCCGGGGAGATAACAAAGACATCATGTGTGGGTACAACAGGCCACAATTTTATTGATTACAGCTGCAAAAGTTTGGCTTGGCACAGAGCAATGGATTCAAGGCACTGAGCAACCCACCTGCCACCCGATGAAAAAGATGTCCCACAGCCCACCTGCTGAAAGAAAAGAAACTGGGATGGCAGCAAAATGTGAACACCTGGGTGCATGCCACTGTGTGATTCTCTTGCCAGCTGGGGGTGAGGAGAGGCTAGTAGCCCCCAAGCTGGGCGTGCCTCCTTAACCCACGTCCCCATGACCACTTAATGGGGCCCCCAACTGGGATGATGGGCACGTAAGCCCAATCTTCCCCCCAAAAAAAGATCCAGCCCAATACCAAAACTGCCTATGAAGTTGTGACAATAGCAAAATAAATGAACAACTGTGCAAACAGGGAGGAGGAGATTGGATTTATAGCCCACCCTTCACTCGGAGTCTCAGAGCGGCTTACAAATTCCTTTCCCTCCCCCCCCCAACAGACACCCTGTGAGGTAGGTGGGGCTGAGAGAGCTCTTTCAAAAACTGCTCTTTCAAGGACAGCTCTTGTCAGAACTATGTCTTGCCCAAGGTCATCCAGCAGCTGCAAGTGGAGGAGTGGGGAATCAAACCCGGTTCTCCCAGATTAGAGTCCACACACTTAACCACTACACCAAACAACCTGTGCAACCAAAGTGAGGTAGGGTCAGGTAGGAAAAACATCAAGGACTAATATGGCCTGGGCCTATGACCTTCCTCCCAAATAGACAAAAAAGAAGCGACGTCTCATGCTTCTGCTCTGGGCTTTAGCTTGGGCATACCACCTTCTCTACCTTGGAGCCGATTGCAGGGGTGTCCGGAATAAGGCTATAAGCTGCAGCAGGAAGAGCCCACAAGTGTCACCATCCAGGCATGTTGATCCCTTTCCTCCTCATGGAGTATGAACATCTTCTGACCCTGTCACCACAAGTTTTAGCTTGGTTATCACTCAATAACAAACTGTAGTTCTTGTTTCAAGGTATTTTATTGTCCTTTGCTGCCACCTAGATGTGCTTTTCAATTCCCATTGTTGTTCAGCACTTACACTTGGGCTTTCAGAGCTTGATCACAGCTCTTTAGTATTCTTACACAATCACTCCACATGGTGTGTGTGTGTGTGCGTGTGTATACTACTATTTCCATTGAAGGAGCTGCAGTGGCTCAAGTGGTTAAGATACTGAACTGCAGGCTGTGGAAGGTCGGTAGTTCAGCAGTTCGAGACCCGAGTGTGCCGCATGATGGAGTGAGCTCCCATCTCTAGTTCCAGCTCCTGCCAACCTAGCAGTTCGAAAGCAAGAAATTGCAAGTAGGTAAATAGGTACCACTTCAGTGGGAAGGTAACAGTGTTCCGTGAGCCTTGGTGTTTAGTCATGCCGGCCACATGACCACGGAAATGTCTTCGGACAGTGCTGGCTCTTCGGCTTTGTGCTGGCTCTTCGGCTTTACCTTTACCTTTTATGTACATTGAAAGGACCATCTACCATATATATGGAAGGAGGTCTCCACACATACATGCTCCAAATGATGCAAGGAGACTATTAGGATATATCCTGCTTCAGATGTTGCAATTGTCTGTGGAGGGATTTTCCACTGAAACAGGACTTTTTCAGTGGTGGCAGTGGTGTTATGGAACTCCACACACACACACACACACAAAAATTGGACAACTGGAATTTTTAGAAAGATCTATCGTTCATATTTTTATACAGCACTTCCTCAAATACTTCACAATAACTGACATGGTCCTTTTCTCTTCCATTTTATCCTCACAACAACCCTGTGAGATAGTTTAGACAGAGAGTGAGTGACTGGCTAAAGGTCACCCAGTGACTTTAATTGATGAACACGGTCTTCCCAGACCTAGATCAACTCTCTAAGCACAACTACTAAACTTGTGACTGCTTTTTTACTGTATTGTTATAATTTTTGTACATTATTAGTATGACATGTTGATGATTTTAATTGGTATTTTTATTATGCTCCTTGTAAAATACTTTGCTTAAAACTATACACACATTATCACTGTACAGTCACAATATGCATACACAGGAGAGCAAAATCACATCCAAAATATTTCTCCCCCCCCACCAATGCACATTCAACAAATATTTTAACATAATTTTTCCATAATTATATGGAGTTACAAGTTCCCTCTAAGCTGTGGAGTCTGGTGAGCAGAAATTCTACTTTGTGAGCTACTGGCATTAAAGTTGTGAGCGAGCGATTTGGCTACTGCCTAAATTAGTTTGCTCTGGAGCCATCCTTCCTGAGCTAAGACAAAAATGTGTGAGCTGGA